ATGCACATGCCCAATCTCGATTTGACGGTTCTAGCCCCTGGGGCCCTGCAAGCCTCAGCTGAAAAAGGGCGGCCCTGGCGTGTCTGCGTGTCTGCGTGTCTGCGTGTCTGCGTGTCTTGCGTTTTGTGCCCACGTGTCTGAGCGCGCAACGGTCTGGGCCCAGCAGGCCGGTTCCGCGCTGTGGGTACCTGGATACCTGGGGACAAAGATGTGGGACTGTGCCCCTGTGCGGGACCCGACCGCGCTTACGACGCTGCGGGCTTCGCTGTGGACTTGCGGCACTGCCGGCACACCCTTGTTCCTGACTTTCCTGGAATAATGGAGGATACGGGGAAAGCTCCGTTGATGGATTTGGCTTGTCGTGGACTTGCGGTGGTTGCTCCGGTGATCAAGAGCTTGTTTGAGCAGGATTTGTGTTGTTTCAACTGAGAAGCTGGATAACTGGATAGCAGTGAAGACAGACGGGCCTTCGCAGGCCTCCCGATTTCTGTTGATCTCAACAGCTTTTCAGGTTTGAGTCTATGGAAGTATGACTGTGAACGGTGACTCGTAACTCGCGGGTCTACGAAACGGCATATGAGTCTTTCCGATGCTAGCCTTGAGTTTTAGTTGGTAGTATACACTATCATGTATGGAATGAGGTGTTGTCTTTTTAGGGTGTGTACGCTACCAGGTTAGTGTGAGATGACAGGACTAAAACTCAGCTGTCAGAACTTGTGTGGGTTTGTACCGGGACACTTGCATCCCTTATTGGCCGCTCTGTCACTCGTCAGGGGCTGACAGTTTGACATGGCTTCTCAACTGTCATTGGAAACCCTTTTTTTTCCACATACCAAGAAGGGTGTGCTGGATGAGGTAGCTCGTGCAACGTCAAGATTCGACGCTGTCGATTCTTTAGTAAATCTTCCGGCTAGACATTGTCGGTTCTCGGATAGAAACACCCGACACTCTCTGGTGTGGTGTACTTGGTAGTAAAGCGAAACCAACTCCCGTCATCCACCACTGTAAACCGCGACAACAATTTGACAAGCGGCTGTGTATTCCAGATCAACGTTACTTTCCACCTTCTTTCAAAGACCCCGATCATCATCTGTCAACACTTTGGGCGCATTTTTGGTCGTACCAACCTAGCCCTCAGGCACGAATTCAGCAATGAATGGACTGTAAATGACAGAATGGCTTTGAGTCTGTACGTGTAGTGTAGCGTGAAGTAAACCCGTAGTGCACAACAAGGGGCTTGGTAGGGCTGCCGAAAAAATCCGTTACGTTGTTATGTAGAGACAAAATCATTGCCCAATGATCCAATGATCCGAAGGATGGAACGGCTGTCGACCTAACGAGAAAAAAAAGGTGTTCGGCGTTCCGCGCAGACGAGGGTCGGGACCGCGCGGGGGCCCCTGTTTTTGGCTGCTCTGCTGCTCCACCCTTCCCGACCTGTGAGGTCCAGGGTGGGGCTCAGAGTTTGTGTGTTCCGCGTTCCCCCACATTCAATCCGCTTTCCATTTTCGTTTCATCCGCACTTCAAGTGCACTCTCACGTTTCCTTCCTCGCTCTGCCGCCCTGCAGGCGTGCACCAGTCTGCGCTTATACAAGCAGGATGAAATATTGTCCCGAATTGGTGATTTGATATGTTGAAAAATGTGTCAAAATAAACAATCGTGATGTTGGAGAGTAAACGGACCAATCAAAGATGTGATACCTAAAAGGTCGGCCCTCCCGCTACCTGGACTCGCTAGATTCAGCATCCGCGCTTACGAACGGATCTGATGAAATTGCTTGTGGCTTGTCGTGCTTGTGTAGTGTACATGGGATTCGGTCACTTTCCCATCCCGCGCTTTCGCCTCCTTTTTCGGATGTCGGATACTCCTGCCATGGAGTTACGGGGGTTAAAGCATGTCAGTGCCGGTCGGGGCAGCACGGCCACAGTCGGCCGCTTCTCTTGCGCTGCTAGCGTGTCCCGTTAACTTGAAAAATATCAGGCTGCCGTCCAGAGCTGTACAAGAAAAATCATACGAGAAAGGCCGCCAAGATGTCGTTTTGAAAACGAACGGGATACCCGGATGGGCTCGAGATACGACTGCGTATATTCTGACTCATTTCTCTTGGGCCTGGTCGATGCTGTGATTCTGAATGAAAGAAAACTTGTCTTTCGACAGGTTTCGCTGGTGAGAGTGGTGAGTGGTGACAGGTGCCAAAGCTGGTTACGCATCATGTGACACCTTGACACATGATAACCGTCCTACCACAAGATCCCATGACAACCACTGAAAAGAGGATTCTTTGATTTTCTTGTTCGGCGGAGAGAGAGTTCCGAACAAAGCAAGCTTACGAATCAACAATCCCCATAATATGTATCCGAAGCCATCGCTTTCAAACGGTTATCCACGTACTAGGCGAGAGGTAGCTTGAGACAGCTAAACGAACAGTGTACCCATCGCATAAAGTACTATGGATGAGCCACATCTGCGACGCCACATCTTCTCCAGACCCCGATTGGTCAGTGGTCTTAGCGGTCGCGGAGACATCAAGCAATTTCAGCTTTGAGCGTCTCCGCGGTACAGATCCCAGCAGTTTGTTTCGCGCTTGTTGTAAGCTTGATGAAGCGAATCTAGCGAAGTACGTGTAGATGACTACGTAGCAGCATACCCAGCTGAACCATGACAGGTGTCTCATATGATTTGTTGGCGAAGAAATGACATAGGACACCTCTATTTCCCGGTAGGTAAAGGGAAAGAGGCTCAAAGCATCGGAGCTTGGAAGAGCCGGTTTGGAAACCAAAAACATGGTCGAACAGCCACACTTACCTCCCTGAGAAACCTGGGGAAACACGCATCTTTTCCAATCAGCATCTTGGGGGCAAGATCTCAAAAGAGATCCGGTAGATTCTCCGTGTGGCTCAATCTCTTGGGAAAGGGTTACCGTTTCAAGGTCGCATATCATATCGCCATGTGCTGCTGGACACCTGGGGCAGCCCTACAGCTTGGAAAATGGGCAATAGGAGAGGATAGGAGACCATTCCGCTTCCCCGGTCAGAACAAATGATTATGCCGTGGCGAACCGTGGAAATAGCGTAAAAGGTGCGAGATGAGATTTGTGAGACGTTGGTATGCAATTGGATTTTCAGGGTCCTGGCACAGCCCTGCGTCCCTGACATATGGGTGTCCGACTGCCGAGTTTCGATTCGAATGTACAGGGAGGTTTTTCTGTTTGAATGGGCCAGCAGCAGTGCTCAAATCGGTTCAATCGTGGCTTGAGAGGTCAGAACTAAACTTTTCGTACCGGAGTGACAGATCTGGGTTCCGCTTCTGTCCCGCGGAATAGACGACGCAGACGGAACCATTGCCAAGACGTGTGATGAAAGAGGCTGTGCTAGAGATGTGGGTCGTACGGACAAGTTCGTTGAGTTGTACAGAAAATAGGAGGCCTTCCTGATGGTGTAAGCAAAGAGCTTCCACTTTTCTTGTAGTATGCACCGATGCTTCCAAGTTTCAGTCGCAGGGAGGCTCGTGCTTCCCCCGCTCGAACGCTCTCAGCCGAGTTGTCGCGCGACTCCCCGATTCCCGCACTTCAGTCCCTCCACACCAAATCGTCCGTCGTGACCAACGGCATCATGGTCCAGGCCCGATACTGTCGGCTATCAGCGCGGCTTTGGCTAGCTCCTCCTCACTCTTGTGTCTTTCTTCACTTTGTACGGCTTTTTCGCACAGTTAGCATTCCAATGGAACCGACGTCGGCCAGCTGTCATGGAACTCCCGAAATGTCCAGCGCTGGGCTGCCCCTGACAGCTGTGCGTCACGGCTAGTCACGCCCTACAGTTCGCAGCTTGGACCAGAAACACCAGGAAAGCCAGTCAGAATGCGGACGTGCCACCAGTTATACCTGCTATTGTTGAGCAGGCAGTAGTGTCGAAGCGCGGCCAGACATGGCCTTGCTCTTCGACAATTAGCAATGACTCAAGGTAGCAGAAGCCAACAGAAGCCAAAGACGCCTGCACAGCGGTTATACGACTCAATATACGACTCGAGCTGTTGAAGCCGTCCGTCGGCCAAGCTCGATGCGTCAAACGTCAAACGTCAATACATAGCCAGGTCCCATGGGAATGCCTGGGTTGGGTCGTCTTCGACCTGGGGCTATGACCACATTCGAAGACTTGCCGAGATCGCAGACAACCGAGGCCATCGAGACACGGGGAGTCGGACTCGACACGGGCTGACATCAGGACCCTGAGGCTTTTGATAGTCGGCAGAGTAGTGAGTTGATCGTATACCGAATTGGTGTGGCCCTTTACCCCATATTCTTTGTGCTCTTCCGTCAGCGGTTCCATTCTTTGGTCATCACCTCTGATCTTTTGGTCCCCTGTTTTCCCGCGACGACCATCCGCTAACTCGTTTGGTTCCAAAGTACGACAAGCGGTGCGACGAGCGGAAGCCCAGCGGAGAAGTCGCACCCAACTGCAGGGCAAGAGGTTCGAGGCTCATGCACGCTCCCAGGGTACCCCAACCCCGGTCTTCCTTGTTCAGTTCTCGGTCATTCCAGGACTCACTCCAGTCAACCACAACCGACCCCCAACACTCGACGCTAGTGCCCTGTGCTCCCTGCGACTCCACCCACAAAAGGTCGCGCCCACGGTGCCCACCCACAGCCGGCGGGTCCTGTCTTTTCCAGGTAGGCAGGGGTGGTACCTGGAGGAGGTACCACTGCAACGTCGAGGTACGGGGGTACATACTCTCCTCCTCTTACATCATTCGCATCATTTCTGGACGGACACCACGGGGCATAACATCACCCCACCAGACCTCAACCGCACTCATCTACCTCAACGTACATTAGTCACCATTCCCGGGGCATCGCTTCCTCAATTATAAGAACTGTGTCGGTGCTTCGAATTGCTTCTCTTAAATTTGCCACTGGTATTCCCACCTACTGCGAATTCCTACACCAAACAAAACCACAACAACATCCTACCAACTATCAAAACCAGTCCATACATAACACTTACCATGCCACTGATGCCGCAACCCACCTTGATGTCTTTACAACCTCCTCCCCCTCAGCGACAATATCAACAACAGCAACAACATCGTACTCTTTACCCACAGCGAACACTCTTGCCACAACAGAAGCAGCAACAGCAGCCGCCACAGCAACAGCAACCGTTAGCCTACCTGACAAGTAGCTTCGACCCTCAACCATCGTCTGTGGCCTCCTTCAACTCCAGTCCGGCGTTTACTACGATTAGCGACTTCGACCAGGACTTCGACCAGGACTACAGCAACTGCCCTAGTCTGACAGCGTCACCGGTGTCGACCTACTCACTTCCTGCCTATCCCTCAACCACCCAGCAAGGCTCGTCTTTGTCTGCCTTTGACAGCATACCCAACACCACAGTCCCCCGGGCCGCTCAAGGCGCTGCTGAACCTTTGTTCAAACTTTGGACCGACCCGATGCAAACGGAAACCTGGCTACAACCCACCGACCAACTGACATCCAAGTCGGCTGGTCGCTATGGTCACCATCGCGAGTCCTCCCTTTCCTCACTGGGCTCGGCTGGTCCGGCTTCTCCCTACTCGAACAACACGTCTAATCCGCAAATCGCTATCACAGACTTCAACGATTTTGGCGGATTCGACGACCTGAACTACCACTTGGTTCCCTCCAAGTCGGCCAATCTTCATCCCAGCTTTCCCGGCTATGCCAACTCGAATGCGGTGCCCATCACTGGCTACTCGCGTAACCCTGCGGTGCCCAAGCAAAATAACAACAAGCCTTTGCGTCCCCAGCAAGAGCAGTCCAGGCCTCGGCCTGCGCCGGTGGCGAGTTCTTTCATGGGTGACTCATCTGCCGCATCAGCTGGCGAGGCTGAGGACGCTGGAAGGCAAAAGAATGGTGAGAGCCAAGAGAATACGGGTCTCCCTATCCATGACCAAAGCTTACAATTTGACGATGCAGCTGTCAACACCAACGCTCCCCCCAAGTTCGACCGGACCTTGACTGATATCATGAACGACGAGCTGTACCATCCGGATCTGGTCATTACCAGCTCTGCTCCGGCACCACAGCAAACGCTGACCACGAGCAACAACAACTTCAACAAGGTGGTCGAGACCGCAAACCAGCATCTGAGCGCGATGCAGTCTCCTGTGTCGAGCAGCAACTCGCCGTTCCGTCAGGGATCCCCACATTCTGCCACTCTCCACGACTTCTCCTCTTTGAATATGACGTCGACGCCCCAGGTTCGCCTAGGGTCAGCGCAACAGATGCGTGAGAACGGTAAAGCAGCACAGGACGCCGCCTGGCAACAAACACTGGCGAGGCACAACCAGGACATGACGCCCAAGACCATCTCGCCTAAGGACGCCTTGCTGGACTATCACGAGCCGGAGGATGAATCAAACTTCCCTCTTTTCCCTCAGAATGACAATCACGGGTTCAACTCGGACGCGATGAGCAAGGCACTCTCGCACCAGAGGATTGATGGTCTGCCAAATCTGGATGATATCTCTAGCTTCAACTTCAACTTCACCCCATCCAACATGGACACCATGCAAACTTTCAACGGTCTTCAGCAGCAGCTTCCCCAGGCTCTGCAGCAGTACTCTTTCGTCAACCAACCCCGGCAACCCAGCACTGTGCCATCACTGGCGACGTCAAGGATGAGCTCTGCGGAAACTGGCATCACGGACTCTCCTCGGAGCAACGTGATTCAGCGGCCAGTTGATACCCGCGCTGAGGGTGGAACTTACACATGTACCTACCACGGTTGCCCTCTACGCTTCGATACGCCTCAGCTTCTCCAGAAGCATAAGAGAGAGGGTCATCGTCAAGCACACGGGCTAAACTCGAGGCAGCCCAACAGCATGACTTCGAACAGGGTCGACACTCAAGCTGGTCCTCACCGTTGTGAGCGGATCAACCCAAGCACCGGCAAGCCATGCAACCAGATCTTCTCCCGGCCTTACGATCTTACCCGTCATGAGGACACAATCCACAACGCACGCAAGAAGAAGGTCCGCTGCGAGATCTGCACGGACGAGAAGACTTTCAGCCGTGCGGATGCGCTTACACGGCATTTCCGGGTGTGCCACCCGGACATCCCATTTCCCGGGGGAAAGCAGCGTAAGGCTCGTGTGGTCCGCAGCGGTTGAATTCCGAAAACAGCCGTGTGTCCCTGATTGGCAAAAGCGTTATCGCTTCTGAAATTCAGGGTCCAATCTACTGTCAAAGCGTGTAGGAACCAGACATTCCGTCGCGCTTTGATGACGGAGTCGCATGCTATCTGGCGATAAGATCGACAAACAAAAACAGAGATGGAACAAGCCTGTCTGGTGGTTCACTTTGTCTGGAGCATGCAATCACTGGCACAGCGATGACGTCTGGGGTTGCAGTACGTTACTGGACAGGCTGAGCAGGCCGGAAAAGGGAGGGGCTCTAAGACAGGGCTTGCAACCAATTGCGCCCTCTGATTGGCCGGAGCGTGCCCTTGTGGTACCCCGCCAAAATTCAGGGTCCGTCATGGCGTCGCTCGCTGCAGGGTCTTTGGCGTTCCTTACCGTCTTTGGCCTTTGCGCACTCTCTGTTCCCTGTTCTTTGCGCTCCTGCATCATTGGTTTTTGTTGGTGTTGCTCAGCCACGCGGTAGAAGCAACGAGGCCAGCCGAGCGGATCGGAAAGATTCTGAAGAGTCTTGTGTGATTACGGTGGTTTCTGGCAAATCACCGGCTTCCCGACCGCTCCCCGAGGATGACCGAACATAAGGATGGTCTTTGTGCACCCGCCCTATGACGTCATTTCCAACATCTTGACCCGGTTGTCTACACCAGCATTCTACCATCATCATCATCATCACTATGAAAGGGCACAAAGTCAAGGCCTGACATCGGAGACGGTTCAGGCCTTTTCTTACCTTGTTCAACCTCTATCAGCGATGATTTCAGCGAGGAAAGCGGACAGGTGGATTCTTTCGATTTCGCATCGCTCGATGAAGTCTTTCAGCATCCCCAATTTTCAGAAGTTTGTTCGCTGCTCTTTGTAGTACATTCTCACATTTCGTCATTCGCATGCTTTTTTAATGGCATTGTATTTTTCCGATGATGCTTTCTGGTGGGATGGTGGGGTGCGCTGTATCGCACTATCGATGAGTGCCCGGCAATGACGACAGCTTCCTTTATGGGAAGTTCCGGGAATGGTGTCATGGTACTTCTCGGGCCGGGTTTCTCATTGCATTCATGCTACAGCGGGTTATTTTGAGTGTTCAGCATTTTCCTCTTTCAGTTTACTGCAGTTTTTGGGGAGCTGTAATGATGTACAACACTTTGCATGGAACGGCATTTGATAGACCGTTGAAGATAAAAAGCCGAATGCGGGCTATGATTTCATTTTCTGGCGACCATTTCCTTCATCCTATCACAAGCGGGTTTTGTTTTCCAATGTTCGGCGTCATTGTGGGAGATCTTGTTCTGTTTTGGGAAGACTCTGATGTATTATGACTTTTCTTCTCTCTTCACTTACCTGGACGCTTTACATTATTATACACTCGAAGCTGGAAAAAGGCTGGGATTTTAGAGACTACATGTTTTATGACGGGAAAATGAAAAGGGACAAGGGAAGAAAGAGCGAAGTGACGAAAATACCTTTACAAGAACAGCGATCTTCACAGATGCGTTTTATCATTATGTATTATTATAGAAATCTTTAACCAACAATCACTCAAAGCATCACGCTGGAAACATACCACAGATCTTGTGATGACGGCGTGATTTATCATATTTCGCACCGTGATACTAACTAACCAAGAGATATTGGACTTGGCAGCGGGCAGTAGTTCCGTAGTCCGAAAAGCACACCTAACGCTATCAACCACACCATAAACATGAACACACCTGTTGAGATATCTGTTGGTAGAGAGCACAATTGTTTATCACACCGTCTTCTTTAGGCTTAAGGTAAGCTCCCCGTCTTTAAGGGGAGCGGTACTGAGTATCCATCTTCATTCTCCACGCCATTGTCTTTCATCCCCCTGACTCTCCTCCATCATCAGTCTCCTCCCCATCGAGCCCACCCACCTCCTCCTCCTCGTCATAGTCACCATGAGTTGAATCCTTTGTAGCAAACACTTCGTGGCAGTCGCATAAACCCAAGTACAAAGAAATAGGATATTTTGACTTCTTACTTAGACTAATAAGAACCCAACCAAGTAGACTGAGGACCCAAAGCTCATTGTGAACTTTCTTTGGCTATTACTATCTCATCCAGAATCCTAAGTGCTTCAGATCGTTGCCTGATTATCAAAGACTATGCACATGTCCAGACCCAGCCAGGTCTTTAGAGAGACTTCAGTTGGGACGATGAAGCCTGGGACGACACAAAGGGTATGTTAACTAAGCAAGAACAACCGTACAACCGTGTAACCTCGCTCAGCGATGGAGCAAGTATTCGGGCCTTCGATCCTAAGAAAGGCAGGTGGAGAAAGGGATTGATTCGTCAGTGACTGACTGGATGCGTGAGTAGTTAAAGATAAGTAAATGGTGGACAACTACGAATGTGAAAAGCGAGTCACTTAGCAAACCCCATATAAAGATGTCCTACCTTTTCTAGCTTCTGTAAGAGAAAGAGGGAGCGTGAGGAAGTGACGACCAGGTAGTTTGACTACTCGCTCTTTTCCCTTCCATTCATGCTCTAGATAGTTCCTTCCATATACCATCCATCCGTCCGGCCGCTAGGCTGGGAAGGAGGAAGCGACCCGTCGGCCTGAGAACCTCACAGTACTGACTGGCCAAAATACACCTTGGCAAGTATGCTTTAAGGACGTTCCTTCATGAATAAACCTTGTATAGAAAGTATTAGGGTGAGTAGCATATGTCTTCGCAGCGAACAATGAATGCTATTAAGTTATGAACCAGATCATGTTATCGAACTTCAAATTCCATGAAATTAACGCTTGATAGATAACTTTTGAATACCCTTTGAGTACTTTGCCATCACTATGTGAACAGATAGAATTGAAACACTTTAACATGACTAGACCAGCAAACCAACCTAGCCATCTCCTTCATCTCCCCACAACAATATCCCTACTCTAGTTACCCATGACAGCCGCCTGCGCATCGGTGTAGATCGGGGTGATTCCGGTCCAGAGTTGGAACTGAAAAACGCGAGAATTAGCATATTGAGCATCATGGCTAAGGACGAAAGGAGAGTTACATACCTGATACCAGCCCTGAGCGGCAAGGACCTCGAGTCCGGGAATCGTCTGCCAGTGCGCGTCCTCCGCCAACTGCATGAGAGGGGTGTGGCGCGGGGTGTAGGCCATCTCCAGAAGGACATGCTTTCCGTTCGTGACCGATGGGTGACGAAGAGAAGCAACAAGGACCTCACGCATGCTCTGCTCGATGGGTTTGTCGGCAGGGATGGTGCTGATGACTACGGAAGGCTGGGCTGTGGACTCGGCCGCAACCTCTTCAGGCGTGCTCAAGGAGCGGATGTCGTAGTCGGCAGGGAACGACTCCGCAAGGGCCTTGATGCGGTCGGCATTTCTAGCAACGACGTAGATGGGGGCAAAGCCTAGGTCATGCAAAGCATAGACGGCAGCCCGGGTGGTTCCGCCAGATCCGACAACCATACCGGCGGCTGGGGACTCCTTAGAGACCTTGACAACGCCGGCATTGCGGAGCGCATAGACCATGCCCATCCAGTCGGTGTTGTCGCCGCGGAGAGTTACCTTATCACCGCTGCCAACAGGAATGATGGTGTTGACGGCGCCAATGACCTTGGCAGCATCAGACACCTCATCCAGCAAAGGCATGATGTCAAGCTTGAGAGGGATGGTCACCGACGCTCCACCAAAATCCGTGGCCCGGATCAGCTCCTTCACATCAGCTGCATTATCCGTCTCGAAGAGAGAGTACTGATGAGGCAGGCCGTTGTCACGGAAGAGAGCATTATGCAGGGCCGGGGAGCGCGAAGCCGAGATGGGCTTTCCGAAGAGGTAGAAAGACCGGGGCTCGAGCTCGCCGATGAGAGCCAGCGCCTGACGGATCTCAGCCGCCGAGAGTTGACCTGGAGCAGCCTTGGATGGCAGGGCAGGGTGGGAAACCGGAGTCAGGAAACCGTTGAGCACGCGGCTCAGCTTGCCAGCTGTGCCCATGTTCAAGCCAATGAAAGGCTTGTCATGGGCAGCAGCGAGGCTGGCCTTGAAGCGTGCTAGGGCGAAATTGTCAGATAGTTCGCGGGCAACACCGACGAGCTTGACAACATCACCATGCTGTAGGGCCTTGTTGTAGTACTGGATCCAACCACCGTTCTTCCAAGAGAGTGTTGCCTTCGGGTCGTGGTGAGAAGCAATGATGTGTGTATATCCCTTTTCGTTCGTCACAGCCTCAATGACCTCGTCCGGCATGGTCATCTCCAGGTCGAGATACTCCACGCCAGCCTGCAGACCGGTGCGGTAGAGCTTGAGGGCCAACGCATAATCGTCATCGGGGAACTTGCCGCCCTGGCTGACAGTACGCACGGTGTAGACGATCGGAATCCTGGCGGCCGACCGAAGAAGCGCGACCTGCTTGGCCACAAATTCTGGGTCGTAATCCTCCAGCAAGTCTACACGCAGCTCAACGGCATCGGACCCGACAACCACCTTAGGGATGATGTCCAGCGCCTTAGATACGTTGGGGACTGTGAGGGAGACAAAGGAAGACTGGGGCTTCTTCTTCGCCTCCTCGAGGTGGTTGCTGTGCCCGCAAATGACGGAGAGGAACTGGCTGAAGTCGAAGGGTGGTTCGGTAAGGGCCTTTGAGCCATCAGGATGAGGGCTGTAGTAGCGGAAGTTACTGCACTCCTCAAACCAGGGCTTGCGACGGTAGTAGACCTCCCGAATGTTCTCGGAGTAGGCGGGGCGGGTCTTGTCCCTCATGAGGTACTCGACAACCTGGTCGGTGTCGCGATGGACAAGAAGGACAATGCCACCATTTTGGCTGTAAGAAATCAGAAGCTTTCGGGCAGCCTCTGACTCAACAATACCACCACCACAGGAGAAGATGTGCCCGGTAGGGTTGTTCTTGATCACATCCTCAAGGAGGTCGAGCTCAGCCTTTCTGAAGCCCTCCCAGCCCCGCTCGCTGCGGATGATTTCGGGAATGGTTTGACCCTCT